CCCCCACACCCCCCCCCCCCTGGCTACGCCACTGTCAGGTAGACCGTGTCTATAGCGAATGTGTGATGTGTGCATAGCACACAGGCAGCCAAAGCCCAATGATATGTAGTCAAAATTCAATGTACCAACCATAAATATGGTATCATTAGACTGCGCAATTGTCAGAAATTTGAGGAGTAGACTTTAGATAATATGTTACAGGAACGACTTGAAAAAATTTATCAATAATATCTAAAGAACATGAATTATAGAATAAAAAAAAAATATATATATATTGATCGTGATCTCACCGTCGCAATTTATTAAAGTGCCAATTAGGAGTTCCACCGTTATATTGCACAAATGCTCTCATCACTCTGACATTTTCATTTATCTGTGTATCACATTACAATACATTCGATTACTTAATTGTCCAGTGCAATCTTGCATTGGTCTCTTTGATTGTGATAACAATAAAAAAATACGTCCGGACATCCGCTTCCTGTGTTTAGAATCAATTCATATTGTATAACATACACACAGAAAAATTTTTTCTCCATTTCTCTCTTATTGGTGATTAAAAAATAGTGGCAAAAAATAAATATAAATACAAATTATTCAATGTATTGAGAGAGATGGACTATATAGAATTCTATAAATATTTTTACCTAAATATTTTTTATTTTTCTATATTTATTTATAATAGTATAATTCAAATATCACTTTTATTTTTGTATACGAGAGAGAGATTATGTGTTTTATGTATATATAAATATTTATTTACTAAATATTTCTTTGTTTAATTTAATATAATTAAATTAGAGAAGTCCAAGAAATACGATGATTACAATAATCAATTACAATTATTCATGACTAATTAATATCACTTTCAACATATTTCTATACAATCTCTTTTAACTCTTATTTGAAGCATTCTTTGATATTGTTAATCATTTTCAGCAATATTCATACGAATTGATTAAAATTAAAAATACGTTTCATATATAATAATAATCTATTCGTATAGATAGAGTTCTTTAGTAAATCAGTACACTGCACCTACTTAGGCAAACGTTTTTCTCCTCTTGATTACACTATTGTACTAATACAATATTTAATATATGAAAAGACGCACTTCCATAATTGTTCAAGCATCACGTATCGAGAAACTGTGTAAAGAAAATTAAAACAATTTTATATGTTCTTTATAAAAAGGAATTCTAAATCCTCTTAGCTATACACGTCAAACTTCCGGCTGTATACGTCGTATCGCGGTCCATAAGAAAATGTATTATGCGCAGCGGATTAACAAACAAGCACGTTTGTGATTAATAATGCGTATGACTAAGAATTCCCCGTACTTAACACCTATCGTATTAGCCGTCACTATGTCGACTCGCTCGTTCTATCAGCGATGAGATATAAGAGAGGGAGAAGAGGATCAAATGTTCTCCCTTCTTTGCTGCGCTGCTAGCAACAGTGCCTCCTTTCACGCTGATATGTAATACTCAACTGGTTCTTTTACGAATGAAAATTTTTCAGCCTGACGAATTACATCTCAAATAAAAAGAGATGTCACATAAATACAAGATAAACTAGCTGTGAGAGAAGATGAAAATTTCACACGATCATTTTCTCATAATAGATCATAATTATCAGCGAGACTTAATTTATTAATTTTATATATATATATATACATATAGTTGATATTATACAGGATGTCCCATTTTAATTGCCCCAGACGAGTATCTAAAAAATATAGATTAAAAGATACGAAAAAACGTTTCAGATAAAAGTTGTAAGATAGCAAGGGGGCACGCTGCCTGTAAGCATAAATTTATCCTTGTTATCTACTAAATATTAAATAAGAACAAATGAATACTTACAAATGTTGTTAGTATAAAACAGAATGCATTCCATATCGGAAGTTCGATATTCTTGTGTGTTCAAATAAATCAATTTATAAATGTCTTATCTTTCGACATTGATGTCTATAAATATTGGTACAAAATATGGAAAAAAACAGTTTAAAATACCAATATTTAAAATATCGCTGTACTGCCTATCTCTAGCATTTGTTATATTTATAATAAATACTTATGACTTTTGTGCAATCTAAAACCATAAAAATATTTGCAAAATATTCAAAATAAATCTTACAGATATTTTGTAAATATTTTATAAATATTATATGCTGCCTCAGCTTGTCAAGATTATTGTTATACAATTATTGTTATTTTTATTGGGAGTACAAATTAGTTCGGTCCGTTTTCCAAAATTGGATCGCCTCCAAAGGCGAGTCATTTTTTCGAGATTGAATTCGAAAATTGCCTGAGAGATGGGAAAAAGTAGTAACCAGCGATAGACAATGCTTTAATTAATCTGTTCATTCATTTTGTTTTGAAATAATAATGCATTTTTGAACACAAAAGTGGACCGAACTAATTTGTACACCTAATATATTATTATTTTTATTATCATACGTTTTAAATTAATTTCTATACTGTTACTAAAAAGCAAACTCTCTTCTCTTTCTTGCGAAAATTTATAGTATTTTTCCATAAAATGCTAGTTTAATAAAATAGAATTTTTACAAATCAAATTGATCTATAAGATTACATAAAAAAAAAGGAAAGAGGATTTGTGTAAAAAATATCATAAACATTTAAAAATAGTTAAATAATTAACATTTTTAAGAATACGATTTTATATTAGAAAACATTTATTTTTGCACATATAAATATAATTTTGATATATAATAGATATACTATAGTTTATCATAATATATAAGATTTTTTTAAAAATAAGGTTTCTTTAATTTGTAAGTTCTAATTGTAATTGCAAAAACTTGAATTAAACACAATTTATTAATGTCATTGTAGACTTAATAAAATTATATTTTTATTGCAAATTTTTTATTCGTCTCAGTCCTGGGAATATCTCTCTCTCTCTCTCTCTTTATATATATACATATATCATGGAACAAGTCGGAATAAATTCTAATCGGAATATTTAATTATTCCCTATATTTTTATATTGTATTTTTTTTTTAGAGAAAATGGAATAATTCCGACCGAAATCCATTCTGACCTGTTCGATGATAAATGCCTTGCGCTGAAATTTTTGTATGACATTCGCGACGATTTGTTCAATATCTGCACGCGAGGCAAGCTCACAGGCGCTTACAGTTTCAGGCTCTTCCAATCAAACTGTGAGCCGCAAAAGGTGGGGAATGCGAATCCAGGAAACAGGTACATGCCACGATACCTTGACGTTTATTCCTCAGTCATAAGTTAACGTGTCTCAAGTGAGTATCTGTGTTCAGCACGGAACTGTTAAAATACGTACGACTGGCAGCGATCAAATCAATATAATCATCTTGTAAATAGAATCGTTGTCTATTCTTACCTTACGTTAAGGATATCTTGTCTTATTTACAGACTTTTACTAGTATCGAGTAAGTAAATTTATCTTATAAAGTCAAGTACTCTTACCGTGATGATCGAAGATTATGCGAATACATTATATATAATATAAATTTGCATGAAAGCTCACGGAGAAAATTAAAATATAATATATAGTAACTGACATATATAAAAAGATAATGTAGAGCAAAATCGTACATCTCATGATACATACTCTGATATTGGGAAAATATAATGTTCTTAATAATATAATAACGATTATTAACCTGTCTAAGATAATAAGAAGCAAATTTTTGTTTGTATAGAATATTTTGCGAGAAAACCGACAAATTTCTAAAATGGCTTCTAGAAATTATTCTAAAGTAAACCAAAATATACTGTGTCACCCTAAATATTTATTTAGCATTGAAATTGGCGTATGTATAGTACTACAATTAATGCTATCGTAGTTAGTAAACATAGTTTTCTGTTCGTTATTATTAAATACTATTGCAAATTTTTAGATATATTTTCATTGTAGATTGTTAAAAAATATCGAATGAAATCTCGTATTCTTAAATGTCGAAAAGAGAGAGGAGGGAGAAAATATCAAGCAATGTCAAGTATTATTTTTAAAAAATGCTTCAAACATTTATGTTTAATTATGATTAAGAGAATAACATTCACATTTGTTACCTCAAAAAATTATAATACTGGTATTTTATAAAAGTATGTATTTGTAAAAAATTTTTTTATAAATTTTCTGTAACATACATATACACTCAACAGCAAAATTAAAATATCACCTATCCTGCCCCCCAAAAATAAGCAAATTTCAAAAGTGTAACTTCGTCAAAATGATCATAAAAAAATGTTTTAAAAACAATTTTTTCTGATTATTTTTGACGAAGTTATACTCTCTTGAAATTTGCCTATTTTGGGAAGGAGGGGGACAGGAAAAAATTAACACACAAAAAGGTAATGACATTACTGACACAATTTGTAAGCAGACTGTGTGTGAAAGTATATTAAGTAACATCAATATTTATGATACGTCTATTAATGTATTTTATTCATATACATATATTATCTATATTATATCTTAGAATTTACTCTCTCTTATTTTTATGTTATTTATTACTTTATAAATTGGGTCTTTTTGACATTAAAAATTATTAAATATACGAAATATTTAAATAACATAATCACATTAATGTTAAATTAACACTAGAAAGTATATGTAATAAAATTTTAACACAAAAATAAGTAATAACAAGGCTCAACATGTATAAAACATTAGAGCCTTTGGCTCCTGTGCCCTTTTTTTATTTGTATTGTTTTAACACAAAATTTGAACAAGTACTTGAATACGCGTTTCCAACGCATATTCAAATACAAAATATTTTTATTGTGTATCATTTCATATTTCAAATAATTAATTTTTCATAATTTAATAATATATATGTATACATATATTTGATTTATTATTTATTAATAATCTCATGTATTACTTACTGTTTATATAAATTGTGGACTGATAAAGAGTTGCGAAGAAAAGATACAATTTTTCTTTACAAAAATTACATTCACTTTTTAAGATTCGTATATATGCCAATATTTTGCAATCTTCCTCTAATTTTGGCGATATCACGACATACATATTTATACTGTCTCTCTGTATCAATTGCTACTCCATACTTTCATTCCCATATTTGACTAATGAAATGCTACATATACACACGTATATGTATATACCTATATATGTATATCGATATATGTATATTTACTACGTGTCATCTCGATATGGATATACACGAGTACATCCATAGTAGTCGACACATAGTCGCGTTTTTGTCATAAGTATGTATATGTGTACATATGTATTACATATGATGATGTCATTTAGACACATATATATGATGCGGATGAAAAAGAGGTAAATAATGTCGCTCAACGATATTTATATTTCTTATGAATATTTCTGCGTCATAACTACTAATATTGTACATTTTAATCTTATCGATTAATAACCAGTGACAGTAATAATAATGTTACAATAAACAAAGTTTTATACAGAATTTTTCAACAAAAAAGTTTGATTACAAATATTTTAAAAATTAACAATTCTTTACCTTTGCATTTTTTCCAAGCTACTAATGTTTCGCTTCATCTTTTAATCTTTCTTTCGTCTTATCAAAATGTCGCAGTAATGATCTAAGAATTTTGGTATAAGTTAATAACGCAGTCGATCACGTCTACCATACTTTGTGTGCGATATTATTGATGATCAGTTATCATACATTACTTTATTTTAAGCGATGTTTATTTAACTTTGTACAATAGTATTCTTCGGATTTTTTATTGATTATTTAAAATCGGGGTCTATTACAAAAATACAAATAACGTTGCTATACGAGTGCAAATATATATATTTCTAAACTTTAATTCTATTCAGGAAAAGAGAGAGAATCTTTCTTGAGAAGTTGAAAAAATTAATTTTATTTAAATAATATATGTATATATAAAATAAAGTATATATATTTATTTTAATAAATAAATAGATATAAATCTAATATGATTATATTAGATTTATTTCTATTATAAAACAAAATATATTAACCAATTAACAAGAAAGAAGGAAGCACAAAGATAAGCCTATCTCGGTCAAAGCTAGATCTCGATGCTTATTATCATTGTGTGTGAATTTTATATACCGCGTATGTAGTTCCTCTAATCGCGTGCCGAAAATTTTTTTCAGACTTTACAACGCAACTCTAAATAACTACCGCGGTAATATCACTTTAGTTAAATTGACAATCAATCTAACAAATTTCGATGCTTATAGCATCTTATTAGATCTTAATAATATGTTGAAAGACATATATTAAAATTTAATATTAAAGTAATGATAATTTAAAATCTGTGAAAAATTAAGATTGCGAAGAATATCACAAGTTGGCGTTTCGTCCCGGCTAAAAATATATTAATATAATTATTGATATTATCATTTTTAATCATAAAATCTTTTTCTTTTATATTAACTTTCAATGCTAGATAATAAGAATAAAATAGACAAATAACTTTATATTTGTTAAAATTAAAAAAATGTTAAATTTTTAATATAATTTTAGTAGTATAATTACTTTGAAATGTAAAAAGTTATCTTACAATAAAGCAAATGAAAGTTTAGAGAAGAACTAAATTCTAAATTAGAAATTTAAAGATTACGATAAAATTGTTAATTGTTCGAATATTTCAAAGTTTAAAGCCTACAATGCATTTTATATATGATAAATATAGCATACCCTGAACATGTTATTTTACATTATGAGTAAGCTATGAGTCATCATCATTAACCACCGTATATATTTGGGCACTTTTAAAACTCTCACCCACTTTATGACATGGGCCAGAACTCGAGCGGTGGGTGATCGCGGCGAATGCCCATCATGGACATGCTCTTATATGGTTCGCTAAGAGTTGTTTCTGTGTGCGTCCCCGCGACTTCGAGGTCGCCTTCATTGCATAAATCATGGACATCACGTATATATATATGTATTTTGTTGTCTACCAGAAAGAATCATGTTTGTCAAGAAGTTGTACTGCAAGCACTGACTGCAAGTACAAATGTGCGTTTTAGAACCGGCACGTATTTTTAAATATAAATATTCGCATGGAAAATAAAACATCTTCAACAGATACGGATATCTGTACTTTCAGAGTTTATTGATTCACAGTTCATTGGTTTTAATTCTCACGATACTATAAGATTTAAATTAAATCTTATAGTTACAGGGTTCAGAAGTAACGCGTTACTTGTAACGCCGTTACCGTTTTCGTTACTTTTTTCAGTAACGATTCTTACTTTTTTTTATCTGTAACGATAACGATAACGTCGTTACATTTTTACAGTAACGTTACTTTTACCGTTACTTTAGTTTCCTATTTTTATATTTAATGGTTTTTAATTCTCACGATACTATATAAGATTTAATCGGGATTGAGAAGTAACGCGTTACTTGTAACGCCGTTATCGTTCTTGTTACTTTTTACAGTAACGATCGTTACTTTTTCTTGTCTGTATACGATAACGTCGTTAAATTTTTACAGTAACGAATTTAGTCGTTACTTTTACCGTTACTTTAGTTTCCTATTTTTATATCTATTCAACAGATCGCGCACCGATTACGCGCCAATAGCGCGCGCTGATCGCGTGTACTCTGGAAACTAGTCATAGCTGCGTTCAGCAGAAAAAGCAGCTTTGCAACTGTTGTAAAATTCTTAAATATGATTGACTTATACATTTAGATCTAATGTGGAAATAAGGGCAAGACCAATTATATTAAAGAATTTTACAACAGTTGCAAAGCTGCTTTTTCTGCTGAACGCAGCCATTATGGTTGGATTCGGGGAGACGCTATTAGTGCTAATTCTATCTTCATCGTCCATTAGACGTGAGATAAGGATAGTACTACACAAATAGCGCTAATAGCGCTTTACCCGAATCCAACCATAGTGACTAAGTTTCCAAAGCCTATCTGATTCGATAATCGTGAACATGTTCTAACCTTCTAACATGTCGCTCTCGTTGCTCTTCACAATTAGAACCACAGACTTCTATATATACTACTAGACTGCTAACTTGTTTGAAAAAGTGGCCCCCAATTTCGATTGTGCATTATACGCATGCGTCAAGAACCGCACCGCGTGACCCGTACGACACATGCGCATACATTAGCACGCTCATACGTATTTTTAAAATTAACCTGGGTTAATCTAATTAACAGTATTGAATAAATACTTGTTTCCGTAATTTTATTTTTACTGATATTTGTCCATATTTTTATAAAATAGTAAAAATTGTATTTTATCCTTTAATTTTTAATTTTTTCAAAGGTTTTTATTAATAAATACATTTGGTCTGAATTTTTTTTTCAATAAATGTAATAAATATTACTTTAAAATTATAATATATTCGTATTATTTATCATTACATTTAAATGGTAATAAATATAAATGATATCAATAATTTTTTAATGATTTTTTTAAATCA